AATTTTTAGGTTGTTTCATAACAGCACCATTATGAAACTGTGAGTGGGATTTCCTTAGAATAACATAGCAATATATTATGAAGAATACAGTGCAGAAACATGACTTACATCCTGATTAAACAACAAATTGTTGTAGAAAGCCTTTCTTAAAAATCCCCTCAGAACATGTTTTTTATTACTTCCGAGACTCTTTCAGATCCTACAGGTATTTTTTTTTTCTTCATTGCTCTTTTAAATGTAAGCAAAGAGGATTTTTGCCTTTGTTGAAGTGTTGCAAACTAGCACCAGGTTAAAACCTGACTACAGCCAAAAATTATGCACAATAGTTTCAAAATATCTAGTTTCAAAATGGAGCTGAAGGTGACAAGTTCTTCAGTTCCCCCTATGAAAACATTGATTCTTATTAGTAAGGATACTCAGCTATAGTATGGTCGCATCCTGAGCTTTTTTGTTGTTGTTGTTTCAGCTAAATAGTATCTCTGAATTGGCTGATTAAAATTAGGTTTAGCTTTGAAGGATGGAATTATAAGTAGGAAAGAAACAACAACATTCAGCTGTGTATCCTAATCACTAAGGGTGCAATCTCTGCATGTAATTCTGCATAGGAGAGAGGTGCTGTGTTATTGCAAATTGTCACTGCCCTGGGACTTGGGATTTTGAACCGACAGAGGATCTTGGGAGAGAAATTAGCCTTTTGTGCTTGAGTTGTTAAAAATTTGTTGGCCTTTTCTCTCTAACACCAATGCCTGGTAATTGTTTCTCTCTCTTTGTCCTTTTTTTTGGGTTTTGGTTGTTTGGGTTTTTTCATGTATGTCGACAGCAGTCTAAACTTTTTTCAGGAATTGTCAGGTATTGTCCAGTATAGTACAGAAGAGGCATTTCTGCTGCTGACAATAGGACATTTAATGTGTAGCATTTAGAGACCAGTAATTTTCTCAAAGCCGTATTGCAGCAATTGCAGTTGACTGTATTCTGCAGATTGTGAAGCCATATTTTAGGACAAGATCTTTTTTATTGTCTTAAGTTGCCCATGTTTTTTAATTTGTCTGCCCCTCCTCCTCCCTCAAATCCCCCTCTTCTAGAAACAAAGACTTGTTTGTTCCTGCTCTGCCTGTGAGGTCTTTGCATCCTCCGCTGTGTGGGTGCAGAGCCCCTTATTTAAATGCTTTCCATAGCCATGGAAGGTAAGGAACAAAATGTATTAGAAACTCGTAAGTCCTAGCTAACAGATAAAATGAAGCTCTTCATCTTTGAATTCGAAGTACTTCATGAGAGCTGTGCTTGTCAGGATCATTACAAATGAAAATAAAAAATAAAATCTGCTATCTGAAATCACATTAATGAGCATGTTCTTTAGAGTGCAGATTTCTGCAGTCGTGTCCATGTAAGTAATGGGGAATTAGGAATGTATAAAGAAAAAAAAGCTCACCAAAAAAACAAGCAAGCAAAAGTACCTCAACCCCCAATCAACAGCAAAAAGCTTTAAAACCCTTTTTCCTGTCACTTGAAACAAGATGTGTTTCTGCCCCACTTTTTCATTAAATACTGTGTTGAAAATTATAGATAATTACATTCTTCTTTGAGTTTCCCTTGAAGATAGCCCGCTTGTGTAATCACCAAGATGTATGAAAATCATTGGTACTATTGTTGTGGTTTTTTCACTTGGATATGTTAAGTCAGTAAAATTCAGTTGGCAGCATCTTCTTCTAATATCCTGACTTTTAGTTTAATTTCACTGTTAAAAAGAGTTCGCTCATATAAAAAAATCTGAGGACAGTTTAAAATCTTATCAATTAGAAGTCTTTTGCACTTTCCTGAAATAAAAAAATGTTCAGAAACATCCTTTCAATTATGCAATAATAGTAATGATAATAATGATAATGATGATAATAATAATAATAATAATAGTGGAATTTTACATTCCATTTCCAAATAATTATCAAATCATATAATTAAGTAATCCCCTAATATTTATTGATGTATTTTAAGTATACACCAAAGTCTCAATATCTTACGATATTTCTGCTTTAGATATGCTTTTTCTTAGAAATACTACTTTCAAGTGGACATTAGAAGACATTTGGGGGATCTAGGATGAGGGAATAAAATGAAAAACATCACAGAAATGTGATTTCTTTCTTAAAGTTAAAATTGCAAAGTCAGTAGATGGGAAGAATGGGGCAAACAGTGGTCAGAGAGAACAGGAATAATACAAGCAGCTGTCAGAAATAAAAAGAGCAGAAAGTGGCATGAGCAGGAAATACAAAGCTGCCTCTTTGAGGAAAAGAGATACTTGTATGGTGCATGCAGGAAAAACAAATTCATAACATATTAAAGGAATGTTAGTGATACTGCACTGAAGTGTTTAACTAAGGTTAGACACTATTAAATTTTTATGAGGTTATCTGTAACATGACTTGGCTGTGAACTGCATTGAGGTAGGACTCTGAAACCATGATTATATAACTGGGGACTAGACTATAAAGGGAGTGTTTTTAACCAAAAGAAAATTGACATTTTTCAGCTTTGAGTACTTAAATTCTACAAGCTAGTTTGCTTTTAACTTAAATGTGCTCATTTCAGGTGATTGTAATTTTTGAATTTTTCTCCCTTTTGACTTTACACTGTAATTGACCTTCCATCTTGTTCATTAGCAGGGTTTGGATCCTGGAACATCTGAGAGGTAGCACAGACTTTGGATAGGGTTGCAGAATTAACTAAAAGCAGGAGAAAGCTGTTTTCTGTTGTCCCCTATTCACTTCATTTCTGCCTATTTTGTGAAAGAGAGTAAGATATATAGAGCAAAAGGCATGGTCCTGGTTGCAGATTTGAAAAGAGAGAAAGGAGGAGATCTATTCCCCACTCCAGCAATGTCTTGTCTAGCTTATCTAAAGCTGCTAGATGGGCTGCCTTACTTTTTGCATTGTTTTCTCTAGCTTCAACTTTGATAAATGAAGGTTGAGTAATTGCTGTCAAGCTTCCAGCAGATATTGCCCAGTGGAGCTCCTGGTGCTTGTAGTTAAATGTTCACTGCCCACATCCTTACAGGGCAGGTGTTGGTGGTGTTAGGACTTTTGCTCAAGTTTCTTGGTAGTGTCTTGGGCTGTTCTTCCTGCCACTGGCCCAGAGACCGCAGCACGCGTGGCAAAGCTGGTTAATTGGCTCACTCTGGTCACCTTCTGTCCTGAAGTTCAGTTCTGATGGTGAAGTGATGCTGGATGTCTTGTAACATCAACTGCTTGATTTTAGCCTTTGATCCACAGGAATGTCGTTTTCCCACTGGTTTTTTTTCATGCTGCATCAGGATGACACTTGTAGGTTGGAACTGAACTGCAGCCTTCGTTGTTACTACTTGGTACTGGGATCCAGTTTGTATTCCTACTTCACAGGTTCACTTACCTTACAGGAAGTTCTATCATATTAGCAATTATATGTATGAAGCTCTTTAACTAGTAACTGCATGAAATACTGTTTCAAAAAACTGTAAGCTATTTTACAGCATTTTATGTTGGCTGGACTCATGCAAATATGACTCTTCTGCCCATTAGACTGTTGAGTCTGTGCTGGACCAGTGGATTAGTTGAAAGGGTAGACTACAGGGTTGGGTCTCTAATTGGTTTAGTATTTTGTGATAAATATATGTTGGCTTTCTTGGAACAGAAGAACAGCACTACTTTACCTTAAATTGAATATTCAAAAGACAGTGGAGAGTCAAGGGCTTTTCAGTGAAAAGATTATACAGATTTTTTTATGAGAGAAATCTCCTTTCTTATGGTAGTTAGAAATACTAGTATTCCAGGAATCCTCTGTATGATGAAAACATTAATTCAAACTAATTCTACAGATTTTTTTCCCACTTCACCCTGTCATCCTAAAAGAACCTCTCTCTTTTTTTTCTTAGTTTCTGTAAACCATAATCCTCATTCCCAGAAAAAAAAAATCCCTGCCATTCTCCCATCATTGCTTCAGCAAATGCATTCTGCAGAATACTGAGTGTTAACAGATTCAGTCTGTTACAGGGAACACCATGGAGATGGAGAGCTAATTCCAAGCTGAAAGCCCCTGAAAATAGTGCCCTTGCAATACAGTTAGCTTTTCCCACCCTCTCTTTCACTCTGGGAACTCCAGTGCTCTGTTGACTTTAACCATATTGGTGTCATGTGAGGGAGAAATCAGGCCTCATGCATCCCAGTTATGTATTATTTTATTAAAATAAAATTGTCTTAGGCCTTGCTTTTATAGGGGAAGGGAAGATGGATTCTCATTGTGCATTATGCTTTCAAAGCTCCATTTTTAGGCTCCACTGCCCAGGAAAAATGCAATGCATAATTCTGGGGGATAAAAGAAAATGAAGCACTAGCAAAATGTTTTCTGTGTTGATGTCCATATTTATGGGTGTATAATTCATCTGCCATTTCTGTGCCAACTGTAATTTTGCCTATCAAGAAGCTCTAAATGAAGTCTCTAACACTAAAGTAGTGATGTGACAAGGATGTGAATGCTGGTTGCATGACCTTGCACCACAACAGATAGCCTTTAATTGTTTTTGGTAAAAGTGAAATGATCCATTTTGTCGTTCTGTGTGTTCTCAAGTTAAATGTACCTATGATTCCACATGAATAAAACAAGTTATTTACTATTTATGTCTGTAGTGAGAATAGTTTATTAGAAAGAAGAGAGATTTTTCTAATTCGACTTGAAATATTTTTTTACTACCACTTCTGAATTTTTCACCAGTTAGCCCATTAAACTGTTTTTAGACTCTTTTAGAATAAGTGCATGGTCTTAACCATGAGATTGTTGTGTTAATTTTGCACACATCAATTGCTCACACATGAGCATATGTTTCACATTCTGAATATTAATGTAGCCGTATGTTTTGTACTGTCATGCCTTGTAATTTTGTATTTTTTTTAATGTATACCTTTCGTGAATACTACTTTCATTGCATGTATATGTTTGAATTTATTTTTTAAATGTTTATTGTTTTGGTTCCTTAGCTATGAATCAGCGAATCAGCCAAAGTGCTCCAGTCAAACAGCCACCTCCTCTGGCTCCTCAGAGTCCCCAGGGTGGTGTAATGGGAGGGAGTAGCTCCAATCAGCAGCAACAGATGAGACTTCAGCAGCTACAGATGGAGAAAGAAAGGCTGAGACTGAAGCATCAAGAACTGCTTCGGCAGGTGAGGCCACAGGTTAGACACCTACTTCCACTATTTCTTTTGTATGTTATATTTTGATTTTTCTAAGTTGTTGTTTCAGCGAGTCCCAAAGACCAGTGACTATACAAAAAGCTTTGAGATCTAAAAAGGTCTGAATTCATTCTCTTACTGATATCAGCTTGATGGTGAAAGTACTTAATTTTTTAAGACTGAAGAATTTTGCTTTCCTCCCTCATTCCTCCCTCTAACAAAACTCTTAAAGAGCAGGCTTCACAAACTATAAAGATGACAGTGTGGACTGTTGATATGATTGGATATTCCACCTAATAATATATTTCTTATTCATTGAGTTCCAAGTCATGCAAAAAGTTATTTCCCACAGCTACTTTAGTTCTCCCTTTTAAGTGGAGGAAAATCTTCAGTTTCAGAACCTGTTGCAGTCTGTAGGATTTTGAAGTATTTTCAAAGTTTATATAAGATACATTGAGGAAACACCTTGTTGCCAAAATCTTACCTGTTCAATAGTAGAGTGAGCATGAAACAACTGAATAACTTGTGCTGCGTTTTGAACCTGTGGCTTTCTTATCCTGAAGAATTTCAAACTTCATAATAAGGCTGCACACTATGCCTTTCAGTGTTTTCTATTATATGGATATGGCTGTAGCAAATATTAAAGTGTAGGGCTGGACTTCGCAATCTCTGGATTGGAATTCGGGCTTGATCTCCTTTTGACTCTAAGCCTTCTGCTTCGATTGTTCAATCTGAGTGTTTTAATAGTTATAACTATCTGTGCTAGATACTTAAGATATTTCTTTGGGTTTTTGACACTGACAGAAAAAGCACTAATCTTTTCTTTGAGGAAAACCTTCTAAAATCTTTCCTTTTTCACTTTGGGTGATGGGTCTTGTTTCAGAAGAGGATAACATCTTAATGTCTTCAAAGACAGCTTTTCTCTTTCTTCATCACCTGCAGTATTCTGTCCTGGAATCTGACTTCCGTTATCCCCTTTGTAGTCAAGGACTATTTTGTAGGAATCTTCAGCATCTCTTGGTGTAAGATGGGTCATCTTTACAGCCATTACTTTTTATAGTGCTCTAGGTAAGAATACATTGCAAAGGTGGCATCAGGACTTTCTCTCTGCTTAAGCACCTGGGCTTCTGCTGTTTCTGCTTTGCAATTAATCCACAAACAGACATTTTACCCTGTGCTAGCATGCGTCTAGGTAGGCCTTCTAATTGTCTTCTTGCCTCAGTTGTCATTGAGAACCTGACTAACTTTGGAGCAGGTGACAACCAATTCTCTTCATGTTGTTCTCCTTAGTTGTTAAGCTTGTCTGTCAAATATGCATCCTTGGTAAATCTGTGAGTTTTGTTTCACTGTGTCATGATTTTCACAGTTCTTAACTCCCTTATCCTGTCTCATCTGGCCTGTCTCGGGGGCTTGATACTACAAGATGGTGTTTATAAGACAGCCTGCATAGGTAAACCGTGCAGCTAAAGTAATTTTTATCCATCTTATTTTTACTCTTAGGCATTGCGGAATATCAATCCCAGCACAGCAAATTCTCCAAAACATCAGGTAGGCTCTAAACTGATGTTTCAGCGTAATTAGAAAAATGAAAGCATTAAATTAGGCTAGCAGGGAACTTTTTGCTACATGAAAACATTCTAAAAAAGAAGGGAAAAAAAACCAAAGCCAACAAACAAAAAACCAGCCTCTGCCATGCACATTTTTGAATCACTTTTCTGGTCATAGCCCTAACATTGTTTTTAGGAGTGCTGCATTACCACAACTTTATATCAATATTTAAGAGCAAACAAGGAATTCATTGCGCATTTTTTTACATTGAAAACAGCCTTCTTGTTTAGCATTCTTGAGGATACTGCTGTTCCAGTCCTGATGTCATCAAGATGTTTGTTTGAAGCAAACTGTCTAAGGTAGTAGTTGGTGACTTTTAAGTACTGTTCATATGAATGTTCTTATCAGTACATTAAAGCAGGTATGATCTTAGAGAAGGATATCTGTTATCACTTAAGGAAGAGTCACTTGAAATAGTTACGATTTTTAAGCATACATAGTATAACCGAATTACTTAATAGATTAGATGAACAAAATAATTGCTATGCAGTATAGTTTTTCCATTTGGACGTTTATCTGGCTCTTGCACACATACATTTTCTGTATAGGAAACAACTGTATAGTTATGAAAAGCTCAGACCAAAATAAAATTGTTCAAAATGTGAAGCATAATAAACAGCTTAATGTGGTCTTCTTTCAGTTGCTAAAGAAGTTGAACATAGAATGAATCTCTGGAAGGGTGGATTTATGGATATATTCAGAGAACTTCATGTTTACTAATGATAACAGTATTTTAATCTACTGATTCTTAGTACCAATATTTATATTAGCTTGTATTGTTCTTTGTTTTTTTAAGAAAAACCTCTGTATGCACTGGGCAAGAAAAACATAATAAATGAAAGTATCCTCTGTTTGGAAGCCATGAGTACTGATGTACTGTTACATTCTGAGGAGTACCACAACCTTGAATGTTACTAGTTCTGAGATATAGGAACCTCAGACCTTAGTGCTGACACCCTGGAATAAATACTTTCTTGTTTGGCAATACTAGAGCCGCTCTTAAACAGAAGCATTTTAATTGAGATGTAGTAATTTGATTAATTAACAAAGCATTAGCCACATAATGATCTTATCAGTCAATATTAGATTCTATTCTGGAGGAGAAAAAAAAAGTCCTCAAGAATAATGGGTATACAAGAGAATAAACAAAGAAGAACTACTCCACAGTAGTGGAGTAAAATACCTTATCTTCTGGCATAATTAGGTCATTCATAGGGGGTGTTTTTCTTACAGAATGCCAAAAGTCTATTCTGTGTTTTCTTCTATGCCTGAAGCCCTGTCATTGTTCACTCTTCCACTAATTTCTTCCTGTTGCCAACTCAAAAAAATACAGGAAATGGAGAAGTTTGTTATCAGTTTCATACTGTACTGTGTAAGATGCGGTTTTTGGAACTTCTTGAAATTATGGCTTTAAATCCTACAAAACAGCAAAAACTCAAAGGGACTATACTGATAATTCATTAAATGTATATGTACCGGTCACTCTGCACTGTTTGGAGTGGAAACTGATGAAAGGAGTCATACAAAAATCAGGATTCCATTTATATTTAAACTTGCTTCCTACTGAACCTCCTGCCTGGCATCAGTTTTATTAGTCTGCACTTGCTCATGAGTCAAGGTGTGTGGGAGAGATCTGTTGGGTGGAAGAATGGGCCATCATGTCACCTTTAAAGTTCTGTAATACTAGGCTATTTGTGTCACACCATCTAAATGTACTTTTTGTGTTTTCATATCACCTCAGTAAAGTAATGAATAGCCACAGGTGGAAGAAGGTGCTTAGAGAACTGCTTCAGGGTTCTGGTTCTCTAAATGCTTCTTGAGGCCTTGTACTGAAGAGGCAAATGTAGTCTGTCTTCTCTGATGCTGCTGCTATTGAAGCCCCAATCTGTACATCTGATCAGATCACAGCTGACCTAGTTAATCTGGAAAATGTATAGGAAGAATTAAAATTTCTTTGGTCAACTTTTTCTTGCAGACCGGTCTTTCTTTCTTTTTGAATAAAATTAATAAAGTTTGGAGGAATTACCTGCTTCCCTGATGATAAAGCTGTGCTTGGTGGCAGAGTAATTGCTTCTCTTGCTAACTTTTATATATTCTTTTAAGGAATAATAAAAATTAAATCTTCATATATTCAGTGCTCTTAATTCTGGGACAGCTAAGTCTGTTTTAGAGAGGGATTGCCAAGGTCTTTTGTTTGTGAAGAAATTATGTAACACTGGCATTCTTGAAGCTTGCATCCAATGAAATCTCTTGTATGGATAGATTAAAAACATCTGAGAAATGTTCCTTAACTTGTAACTGTATCTGAACTTTTCATGTCACACAATCACTAGGTTAGAAGGGACTGGTGGAGGTCATCTAGCGCAACATCCTGATCCTTCTTGACGTTTTTCCCCATGTAGCCTGCATACAGTACCATGGTTGTATTTATATCTATGATCAGGTTTTTTGGTACTGGGTAACCATAGTGTTCCTGCCAGGTTGTGGTCGCTCTGCCATGGAACTGCAGTATCCTGTGGTGACACTAACATTCCAAGTGCTGTGCATGGAAGCTTTACCTTCTGGAAAGAGCAAATAATTGCTCAGCTTAATTTTTTATAGAAAGCACTGTAAGAGACTCTTCTGGTTTGAATGAGGATGTATTTTACTGAAATTCTAAAGGTACCTGTAGCAAAAATTACAACTTTCAGACTTATTGTGTATCAGCAAGAACTGTTGATACATCCAGGAAATTTAAAAACACCAAGCATCTGTTCAGTTACTTGTGCTTATCATCATCAGTTATTTGTGAAACCTTAAAAATGTCTGTCTTAATAAAGAGATTGCATGACTTGACTTTCACTCCATCCCTACTAGCTCTCTTTCCATTTTCCTGCAGTTAGCATCTGATTGTCAACAATTTCTAAAGTAGAGAAGATGTCAATCAAGTTTTGTATATGTCACAAAATTGAACAGGTAGTTAAGTAACAGATTTCTTCCCTTACAGTGTGCTGTGGAAAGAAATAGAGGCAAATAATGTTGAGGTACTGATGGCATTATTCTTGGATGTTGTGCAGATTATTTTCTTGTGCTGAGAATGGAAGATTTCTTATTTATTTGCTGCTAATATTAGAGTATTTGCTAGTGAGATCAGCATACTGCTATTTATGAGATAAGTTCATCTGTATATGCTTGCTGATCCTGTATCTACTGCTTGTTTCTAGCTTGTTTCTAAGCTTTACAGATCAACAAAATAATTGTATTGCTTGCTCATGTGTGTAGATCTTTATGGATAAATAACCTTGTTTAAAAGTCTGTATAGTAAATCAGAACTGCATTCACTGGCTGTGCTGGTTGTTGTGACTGAAGCAGTGAACGGTCCATTTCCTGCTCAGCCCTCACAAATTGCCCAACTCCTCATTGCTGAGTTCATTTGTCTTCCATCAGTCCCCATGTCTTCCCTGTTACTTTTGTGTGTGTGCTGGAACTTTGTGGCCCTCACAAAAATGCAGGCACTTAATCTGAAGAAGCAACTGTAAGTTTGCCCATAAGCGTTGTGGTCTCCTCTTTCCCCTAAAACTTCTGTTCCATCCCAGGAAAGCCTGTGGATCATTTGAAAGTCAAGTGATGGTTGGGGGCAGAACTGTTAAAATTGGCACTTTGAAAGTAAATTTGCAAAACCAATTATCAGGATATATCAAGTAAAATTGAGTAGCATATCATAGGTATAATACAGTCAGAATATAAGTGGGTTGCACAAGTCATCTGCCTTTCCTCAAAAGCCAGTTAAGATAAAAATGCTCCTAAAAGGGTAGTTTTATAAAGTTAATTTGAACATGGTGTGAATGACCTGTAACTTAATGTAAAACTTAATCTGTCTGGAATTATGAAAAAGAAAAGTGCATGAGGTCAGCCAGATAAATTACACAGTGCTGACCTTATTTTAAAAATTATTTAAGGAGATGACAGATCTTTTTGGTGTGTGTAATAACTAAAATTCAGCTTTTCTGCTAACAGTAGAAATGCTACTTTTTTTTCTTTTCCCAGAGGTGCTTAAAACAAGTTTGACATACTTAAAAAATAGGATGAGATCAATTCATAGAAATCTTAGCCAGGATTTTGTCATAGTTTTATTTTTGCCTCCAGACTTTAAATACTTCTAATAAAGCACATATTTCAAAGCATGAATTAAAAGCCTTGAGTTCACATTGCTCTGTTTTGGAGCTGGGAGAGATTTGGACACTCCCATACATTTTTTTAAGTATAGAAAACCTACAACGTTTTTTTATTGCAAAACAGGTTTATAAGGAAGGAGAAATGAAAAGACTGTTCTTTAAGCAACACAACTTCAGCTTCCATTTTTATACCTTTTAGGAAAAATAGTCTTAACATACTCTTTAGGCCTTTAGGAAACTCTGCTTGTCTTACAAAATTATTAAAAATTGCCCTGTATTTGTTTCTCAATAGCTTGTCTTTTTTGGTAATTCCTTTCTCTTTCAGACTCCCAGAATGACATAAATTTATTACTTAGATGAGTAATAGCATTCTTTTGAAGGGAAAGTGCTTCTGACTCCTGTAAAAGTAGCAGTAATGCTACTTATAACTAGTTAAAAATAGTTGCAGTTTTCCATTTTTCAGCAATGTTGTTAAAACAGAGATAAAAGCAGTACTAATTTTAAAAATACTAGTTTCACTACATAGTACATGCCAAAGAATAGGCAAAATATAGTTCTCTCTCCTGGTTTAATACATCTCTATAGTGGGCCTTTAAAGAAATGAGATTTTTTTTGTTTTAGCTGGCTAGCATCTTGAGCTACATTTATTTTTACCATACTATTTGAGTTTATGTATTGATGAAACTTCAATCTCTCCTACACTCTGAGGATTTAGAAAAATACAAAGGTAATTTCACTGTTTTTCTGAATTTCTTGTTCCTTTGTACTGATTTTTTTTCGTATAGTAACAGAAGAAAAATTGTGGGTTTTTTTTCTTTCCTGGTGTCAGTAGCTCTTGAAAAGGGGACATCTGGATTTCTTATCTTCCTCACAACTATTGAATCAGGAGGCAGTTCCAGTTGGAAAGGCCACACAAAGGAGATAAAATGTCACTTTAGTTCATATACAGAAATGGCTCCATGTAGACTTTGCCTTGTTACCACTCTTTGTGGCACTGGTGTGTCACAAAGCTGCTTCTGCAGTCTGCTGGCACTTTTGGCTCCTCCTCTTCATCCAAATCAGTGACTGCAGCCCAAAGAAATAAAGATGTAATGTACAGATCAAACCAAGAGGGAAGGGCAAAAGGACACACCACATGGGTGAGCAGTTCTTGAGCTGTCTCTGGGATAGCTGGTCTAAGACCTTCTACCTTCTTCAGATCAGTGTTTGGGAAATTCCAGGAAAGAACGCTTCTTTCTTTCTTTTTTAGATATAGATGAGTCTACCTGTATATCAGGTAACTTGTCACTGATACAAGGCTACAAACTTAGCTGTGAAGTAAGAGGTCATTATATAGGCTTTACATTTGGTTTTATTACATAACCAATTGAAAATCATGTGGATAGGCCTTTAGAAATTATTAAAAGATGTTTAATGTCCTGTGATCTGAAAATGGGGATGGAGTATTATTACTGTTTGTTAGAACAGTGGCCAGATAAGTGCTGATGAACACATCACTGTGTTCATCACTTGAACACAGTGATGAACACAGAAACCAATGGTATGCTTGTACACTTTCTGCGGAGATCTAATTAGCTGTAGTGAGAATTTTCTAGTACAAGACATAAAACCCAAAGGAATATGTAGAATAGTAATCCACAGGAATGAGAGTGAAGCATATGAAGATTAGAAAAGAAAAGTAAACCTGTCAGCAGGGAAGCTTCAATACACAGTCTGCTGGAAAGAAAATGAAATAACCTTAGATTTCTTAGAAAGAAATCACTTGGAAAAAGAATTGGGGCAAAGTTAGTTTTATATACTAAAAGACTACAGTATAGTAGTCCTTAAGCTTATCATTGAAAATGGATTAAGATCTCTCATTTTACAAGTGAATATTGTCAAGACTGACAGGATTGGTTTTGCCTGAGATTATCTTCCCAGGCACAGCCTGGAAGTCACATACTACCAATGTGACAGGATGGTCACATACTAGCAATGGTGACAGGATGGTCAATAGATTTATCAGTCTCTGCAATACAAAGCTCAGTCTTGGTGGGACATTGATGATGTTTGAATAGAGTTGCTTGAAGAAAATTACTGTATTTTCACATGTGTAACTCATGTTAAAAAAGGGAGAAGGATCACTGGAAATTACATCAAATGTTGCTTATTTCCATCTGCCCTTAATGTGATGCATTTTATGTTAACACTTTCATCAATTAGTAATTACAAGCTTAATGAATGGTTTGATTCAAGCTGGTGAACATTCAGATGGGTAAAAAATTATATGAAATTAGGTTTGTAGCTTCCGAAGTGCAGTGTCTAGGCCTTACTAAGAAATTACTCTGAATTTGAGGAGCTACGGAATTTACATAGGGAACTGATCACTGATCTGATCAGTCAGAAATTTCAAATGCACGCCTCAAACAGGAAGAATGAATGGAAACTTTTAGGGAAAGACTTGAAAGTTCGTTTTCAAAGGTACAAAGGGAGCCAGGAACTAAATCAGAATTTAAAAGAAATCTGGATAAAATGCCATTTAGCAAAGCTATACAGGTTATATTAGGGGTCAGATAGTATTAACAATCCTTGTTTTGGTTTAAGTATAGACTTAGCAGAAAGATACTGAAGTGAACTAGAAAATCTTTGGGTAAGCATACAGATATTTATATCCATAAATACATGTACAGTGCAGTCTCTGTAATGGTGGTCATGGCTGCTGGAACTTGCATTTTCATTGAAGCCAGTGCAGATTCTTGCTTTGTCCTCAGAAACTTTAGTTTCATTTCATTTAACTCTTGTTACTGGAAGCAATAAAAGCATCAATTATCTATAATGTCATGTGTTTATGTATCCAGAAAGTGCATTCAAATGGCTAACATGATCTCTCTTTCTCCCTCTCCTGCTGTTCTAGGAATTGGCTCTCCGTAGCCAGCTTCCAACAATGGAACAAGACGGTGGATCTCAAAACCCCGTGTCATCTCCTGGAATGTCTCAGGAACTGAGAACAATGACTACAAATAGTTCTGATCCCTTTCTTAACAGGTTTGTACGAATAGCTACTAGAGGAAAGAAATTTGATTTAAAATTCTGTTTGGTACATGTAATAGTTTATTTTGAACATCTGTCTGTGCCAAGAGCCACAGCTGTAAATGAATCTTTCCTTAAATGGCAAGTCTAGTAAAAGCTGAAGATTAAAAGCTGTCTCCTGTGGGAGGAAGTAGTCTGTTCAGACTTGTAGGAAGGTTTTTATTCAAAGTCATAACATGTTTGCCTCTGCATAATGTGTTGACTAACAGTCATTTCAAATTACTGACTCAATTTGTGAATAGCTTGCTGTGAGATCAAATGAACTGTGAGGCACATTTAGGATTACAGCTTGAGGTTCATTTTAAGGTTTCCCCATTCACCCCTCCCTTCCACTTCAGGTATTTAGCAGTATTTTTACTCTGCTAATGTTAGGTCTACAAATAGTGGCATGTTTCATTTTAAATGCTGTACTATTTTCAAGTGGGTGTTGTCATTCAAGATTTAGAATCTTACAATATAGACTAGTCTTTCATAAAACTTTTTCCTAAATCCCTCTGACTTGAAATGTTTATTTTGTTGGAAATACTGTTCAAATTTCAGCTTGCAAATGCTTCCCACCAAACATTACAACTTTAGAGACACTGCTGCAGCTTGAGATAAGTGATATCTGTATTTTAGGTAATCCCTTTGGGAAGATTTATCTCCTACACTGACAATTATGATTAGAAAACTTGATGTTTTTTGGAGGGATAATCCTACATGGAATTCATCCTGTAGGGTGTTCTTGGGTGAGCCTCGACTGTGCTGGCTTTGTCCTATGAAATAAAAGAGACAAGACAATTTAAACCTGACTTGCTCTTGCTCTGTGGATAGGTGATGGTATCAATGGGGTGTAGTAAAATTCTAGCTTGAACTGCTGGAAGGCTGTTGCCATCATACATCATACAGGTCCTCACATCTTCAAAACCTGTCTTCTGACCTGAAGGAAATGCATCTTTAGGTTTCAAATGGCTGATGCAGTTTATCCATTGTGAGTCTACACACATAAAATATAAAGTGATGGATCTTTGCCATTAACTAGAAACAGAGAAAAAAGCTAAAAGGGGCAAATTTGCATTCTGTAATTTTATGGCAGATTGATATTTACTACAAAGTACAAAAAGATACTGCTTGCCTGGTGGCATATATGTTTGGGTTTGTTTTTTTTTTGTTTGTTTGTTTTTTTTATGTAGCACTTACCCCATACAAAATACTGCAAATCTGTATTTGACTTGAGTTGAGATTAACTTAATTTGTGTTTTGGTCTGAAAATTTGTCTCCTAGGCAGGTGTATGTGTGGCACTGCACTTAATTCTGCCATATGGGTGAGGGAAAGGGATTTTTAAGAAAGGACGTCTGTGAATATGCATTGCTATCTCAGAAAGCAGTCCAATAGTTTTGGACTATGACCTAAAGGTCTTGTTGATACTCCTTAAGTTAAAGTTCAGACTTTAGGAAATGCTCCTTTCTGTCCTTATAGGGTGTATATAAAGTTCCTCATGAGACAGTACTAAATTTAGGCCCCAGAGTTATCTATTCAGAGTTTAGGTTGTTTGATATTTTCTGCTGCCTATATAATAGAAGCATTAAAAAATCTCAGAGAATCACTACATTGGAGCAATTTGAGATAATGCTCAGTAGTGGTTCAAATGCATAATCAAATCTGCCTGCTATCTTCAGTACTTACCATCATTATGGTATATTTGATTTTTTATTTTTTTAATGGGATATTCATCAGTGCAGACTTCATTAGACTATTTCACCTTTTGATTTGCCACACTTGTTTATATATTTTTGTCGGTTAGATTTATACTGGTAGTGATGGTAGTTCTCTGTTTAACTCCTAAATTGGTATTTCTTCTTTTGTATACACATATTTTAACAATGATTATTTGAAGAAGAATCCACTCTATTTTGGGTAATGCTGTTTAGTTGCATGTGGTAATTTTGGGTGGTGTGACTACTAAATGAACAAATACTTGCTGAAGAAAGAGGAAATGTGTATTAAGGAGCGATTTGAAGAGAAGTGCTGGATATTCCAAGTGTGAGACCAACAGCCAAAAAGCCTTCTCCACTGGAGTGATTTAGTTCAGCATAGTCTCAGTTCTGTTTTTAGTATTTTGTCCCATAAAGTAAACCAGATTTTTGTTCACAGAAGTTCTAAATTGTTTAAGTTTAATTACTAGGATTGTATCAAATGTGTGGTGATTCTGTTCTTAAATCAGTCTAAAAACAGAGAAGTATTTATGATTTATCTATAAAGAACTGTTAGGTTCCTTTCTTGTATGGCAAAGTTGCCTTCATGGAATCAAATATATATATTTATATACATAGCTGAAGGCATTCTTCTGGCATCTGATGTTGAATAGCTGTTCATAATTTTTTTGGATCTTCATACCTGACAAAAAGGCATATACTATATACTTCACAAGTACATCATGAGGAGGATTAGTATGTCTTCAAATGATAATTTGAGCAGTAAATCAAGTTGATGTTCATTGAGGATGCCAGGTGGAAAATCAGTAAGGATTCTCAGTGAATCTCAGAATACATAACCTGAAGAAATACAGATTTTGAAAATATTTTGTGAATACTGAATATTAGAGGATGCAGGGGGAGGGAAGTAATGATGGCCTTCAACAGTGCTTATGCAGGCCACAGCTCCTGCCAGCAAAGCTGCTCCAGCATGGGCTCCTCTCACCATGGGGCTGCAGGTGCTGTCAGCCTGCTCCAACATGGGCCTCCCACGGGGTCACAGCCTCCTTCAGGCATCTCCCTGCTCTGGCATGGATCCTCCACGGGCTGCAGGTGGATCTCTGCTCCCCCTGGCATCTCCACAGGCTGCAGGGACACAGCTGCTTCACCATGGTCTGTCCACCAAGGGCGGCAGGGGAATCTCTGCTCTGGTGCCTGGAGCACCTCCTGCCCCTCCTTCTGCCCCAACCCTGGCGTCTGCAGGCTGTTCCCCTTACATATTCTCACTCTTCTCTCCCATCTGCTGTTCAGCATTTTTCCCCTCTTCTTAAATATGTTATGACAAAGGTACCACCATTGTCACTGGTGGGCTCAGCTTTGGGCAGCTGTGGACCACTTTGGAGACACCTGGAAGCAGCTGGCTGTCATGGGATCAGCTCCTCCTGCTGTGTCACACAGTGATCCCTGCGGACCCCTGCTCCAAAGCCATGCTATATAATCTCAACACAGTGGCCTACTTCCCCTCCCCTTCCCACATTTTCCACTGTGGCTCTCTTGGTCTTGCTTGCTGCGCTGGCAAGGAAGAAAGTGAAGGCATGTAAGGCCCCATGCCATCAGTCTGGTTAACTGTTCTGTCAGCAAGATCATTCTGAGCAGGCTTTGTTTATAGGATGGCTTCTGTACCAGGGTTTGATTTATATTTGGGTGCTCTCTTGCCTTGACATGTGTGACTGAACAAGCAGTAATGCAGCAGTGGGAAGCAATTGAAGAATTGCTAAAGGAGTTCCAACTATTTATAACAGCAGTGACCTAAAAATACGCTTCAGTGGTTGATTAAACATGGGAACATTAGTTAGAAGTATTTTTTTATCCTTATGGAAACATAAAAGGGTGCACCATAATTACTATTATTTTTATAATCATTCTGGATTATCTGATATGCTTCGAAAGGTTTTAGCTGGGTAGGTGTGAAAAGATTAAAATTATGCACAACACACAGTAGGCCATTTCTTAAAGCTGCTTATGTATGTTCTCATCAAGTTTAATTGAATCTAAATAATATGGTTTTAATTGGAAAAGGTCTGCATAAAATAAAACCCAGGTGTCTCATGCAAACAAATGCTTCAGTTTTGTATTAGAATTGGGGATTTCTCATGGTAGCAGTGTTTTCAAAGGCCATAAATTAGTTCAAAACAAGCATCTATTTTAATTTTTTTTCAGTGCTCTACCCTCATTTTTTTTTCTCCTTCTGTTACAGTGGAACATATCACTCCAGAGATGAAAGCACAGATAGTGGCCTTAGCATGAGCAGTTACAGTGTACCCAGAACCCCAGATGACTTCCTGAACAGTGTTGATGAGATGGATACAGGTCTGGTTTGTGTACATTTTTAATGCATGTTTTCCAAATACACTTGTATCCATTTACAATGAAAACAAGCAGTTCTGAAAAGCTCTGATACCCTTTGCATTGTTTTCTACCTTTTCCTATTTCCCCTGTTTCTCTGATAGAAACATTAGATTTATGAAAAAATATATTTGTAATCAAGTGTATTGGGAGGATGGGGAAATTGCTCGTAAGTAGTATCACTCCTGTTTTTATAAGGAATTTAAGTGTGTTTGCTTTTTGAAGTAATGTTGTTCAGGGCTAAAAATAGTACCTCATCCAGAGTTGTTAATACCACTCCAAAACTGTATTTGACTCAGTATTGTCTTTTTCCTTCAAGTGTCAAAATTAAATTGTGCTAAATGCCATCAAAGATCTGTAAGATTTGGGTCAGTAGGTGCAAGTTGGAAACAAAGGCATGTTCTTTGTACGTCTGCATGCAGCCAAGTTATCTTTGGGGTTTGTGATGGATTTCTGTGAGTCACGCTGCTTGTATGATGCAAGAGGTACATGATTAACCTTTAACCAGTTGTCCTGATAAATTGTAGGCTTGGTACTTCCAGTATACTTAATATCCATCTTTGTGTTATAACTAGGTGACAGTATCGGCCAAAGTAACATACCATCCCATCAGAACCGTTTCCCAGACTACCTTGAAGCCATTCCAGGGACAAATGTGGACCTTGGGACACTGGAAGGAGATGGAATGAATATAGAAGGAGAAGAACTGATGCCAAGTCTGCAAGAGGCTTTGAGCTCTGACATCCTTAATGACATGGAATCTGTCTTGGCAGCCACCAAGCTAGATAAAGAGAGTTTTCTTACTTGGTTATAGGGGCCTCAGGGAGACTGAATTCTAAATCTGTGAAGGATCTAAGGAGATTAGGACATCTGTATCTGAAGTTCAGAACAAGCCAGTGTGGTGCACTTTGGCTTGTGTTCAGAAAAAGTAAATGAACAAATACTCAGCAAGTTTGTTTGGGTTTGCTCTTCCTTGTCCATCGCTGCTGTTTTATATTGCTGACTTTTTTTCACAGTTGACTCTGAAGAACAGACATCTTCTTGATCTTTTTCTATTGCTGTTGCAACTACTGTTGGAGGGGGGTGGGGAGGGATGATGAGCCTATTTTGGATGACGAATGCCATTCCTTTTGTCCTAGTGTGCGCTTGCGTATCATTTTATCTAAGTACTCAGATTTGAGAGTTAATTCTGCATGTCACTGCTTGTAGTTTGCTCAGCTAGTTGTCTCCTGCTGCCTGTGGCAAGTGGTAAAACATGACATACTGGGGTGACAAGCCAAAAATGATGTATCTGGTCAAAAGAAGTCAATACTGATTTGGAGATAAGACGTAAAGGAGGGCTGAAGAGACTGTTTGGCATTAAGTGTTCCTACTAGTAGCTCTTGCATTGGCCACGAAGTGCTCTTGTTTGTATTTTATGTTATAGTAAATCAGGAGTCATTTTACATAGAAACATATATGAACTTTGATTGTTGCCACATACTCTAGCCTAACTTCCATTTTTCAAAAATACTTTGATTATTTTTGTTAGTTGGTTTAACTGTAGCTGTAGGATGGGAAGTAATTATAGGTGTTCTGGGTTGTTTTTTTTAATAGTGAAATCTAAGGGTTTTTTCTGATTTCACACAGTCTTATTTAAATCTAAATTGTCTGCTTTTTTTTATACTTAAACCATGCCTATTGTAGCCTGATAAGCTAGTGAGTACATAAACCAGTATGTTTTGCCTGTAACTTTTTTATTTTTTTAAAGGCTAGCTTTGAATGTAATCATTAGATTTCATGACCAGTGGCTTATTTTTCATGTGTATTTACGAGACTTTGAATTACAATCTGATTACAGCAATGTAAAAGTTAAGAGTCCTTTGTCATGTGTACAAATTTTAAATGCATCTTAAAGTAGCAGAACCATTTTAAAATTACATCTAATCTCGCTTCTGGTTTTCAGTTTTGATCTTTAAGTGAGTTCAGATTTTAAAATCCTTAATGGGAAAAAAATTTATGAAAAGTTTCTCTTAAGTTAACAGGGACAAAAATTCTGAACTATTAATATCACTGTGTGTTGCAATGAAAAGGCTAGAACACCAAAAAACTTCTCGATAAAAACTTCTAATTGTAATAGTTGTCTAGTTCTGTTTGGTGAAAAATAAGCCCTGGACACTATATGTAGAAGAATGTAAAGATATGTGTTAGATGGTGACATGAGCAGGTAATGAAGTGTATATTAGTAGTAGAGCTTAGCATGGGGTAGAGGTGAATATGAATCATTTTTATTTTAACAGGAAAAGATGTATCACTAAGTTGTCTGCAGGAGTTGACACAAGTTTCCAAAGAGTATTTTTAAATGAACAAAATGAGCGTGAATCAAACTTTCAATATAAGCTATGAATTTTTGTGGGGCTTTTGGGTTTTTTTCTGATGAAAAATAGTGTCACCAGTTAACACCCCTATCACCATTCTCAACAGTGAGCCTTTATTTTCAAGGGTGTATAACATGACTATAAAGATACTGTTAAGTGTGAAACTTAGTTTTGGAAAAAACTCTCAGTTAGCAGGGACTTCTCTGAGGAGAGATTTTTTGGGGTTTACTGTTTTGCATTTTTTCTCAAGACACTGATTATTTTTTAAGCTAGGAACAAATGAGCAAAACAAATTAAAAACCCCATGATATTACTATTGCAGTTTGGATTTCTTTTATGCTTCAGAAATAATTCTGGTTTAGGATGATGTAAGGAATGAAAACTCTTAACCAAATCCTATTTTAAAAACTGAAGCAGCAGAGGCAGAGATTTGAAATTTGCCACTAGAAATGTACATTTACTACTTTACATAAATGTATTAGTGTTTGAAAAACACAAAATTTTATGGCTTGTTATGGGATACAGGCAAGTTTTAAAATAATAATTTTTAAAACACATTCACAATGATATGTATTCTGCTACACCAATAATTCAGTGAGTAATAGGCCACTTATATCGTGCAATGACACAGTAGCTCCTAAAGCAATGTTATTGTGTCCAAGATAGGGATTTTAGTAGCATTTTTAAAAATTCATTATGAATTCCTCTCTCTCCCTCCCTTCAGGAAAAGAAAAGACACTAAGTTTTCCTAACTTGAACGATCTGACATAAAACCACAACAGCAAGGAAATTCAGAGTTGATTTTATTTCAGCTGTCTTCCACAGTTGTATCCAGGTATCATAGCACATACAGAATCGCAGAATAAGCTGAGTTGGAAGGGACCCATCAGAATTATCAAGTCCAACTCCTGCCCCTGCACAAGACACCCCAAGTTTCACACCACCTGCCTGAGAGTGTTGTCCAAATGCTTCTTGAACTCTGTCAGGCTGGTGCTGTGACCACTTCCTTGGGGACCCTGTTCCAGTGCCCAAACACCCTCTGGGTGAAGAACCTTTTCCTGATATCCAACCTGAACCTCCCCTGACTCAGCTTCAGGCCATTCCCTTGGGTCCTGTCCCTGGTCTTGAAAGTGAAGAGATCTTACTTGTCCCTCCTCTTCCTCTCATGAGGAAGCTGCAGACTGCAGTGAGGTCTCCCCTTGTCTCCTCCAGGCTGAACAGACCAAGTGACCTCAGCCATGAAGAGTGGCTTCCCCTCAAGGCCCTTCACCCTCCTTTGGACACTCTCCCATAGTTTAATATCCCTCTCATGTTGTGGCACCCAGAACTGCCCCCAGCACTGGAGGTGAGGCTGCCCCAGAGCAGAGCAGAGCAGGACAATCCCCTCCCTTGCCCAGCTGGCCATGCTGTGCCTGATGCCCCCAGCACAGGGTTGGCCCTCCTGGCTGCCAGGGCACTGCTGGCTCATGAACAACTTGGCACAGACCAGGACCCCCAGGTCCCTCTCTGCAGCATCTCATTCCCCAGTCCATGCACAAAACCAGATTTGATGCACTGAGTGCAAGCTCCTGAAATGCTGTACCTCACTACAACAGAAATGAGTACAGAACAAATTCTCTTTCCTTGCTTTTGTGTGTTTGTCACAGCTTTAATATTTGAATGTTTTATTCTCATTGTAGAAACACTAAATGGCTTATACTGTACTTGGATAGCATGGCTTAGGGTAGATACTGACAAACTGGGAATCCTTGAACAGCTCTAACATTAATTATGTTTTGTGATACTTATTTTAATTAAGACATTTCCATTCTCTCACTTATTAGGAAACATACCATAGAGATGCTGTACTGTTGGCAATCAATATTAATTCGGATTTTTTTTTTAATTCTACAAATGCATTGTTTGATGAAGTGGTTAAAATTGTTTGAAATGCGAAAGTGTTTTGGGTAGTATTTTATACTGATGTATATATTGAAACAGAAATCATTGTAATAATTGTAATAGCTGTTAGTTTTAAATACACTATATGCAGACAGATGAGGCTGTACAGAGCTGTACTGTTAACACCCGGCTAGGGCTGCTGCTTGGGAACAGGTTGCAGTGTCAGTGAACCATATGGATCAAATATTGTACCATTCAGTGTTGGCGCTCACCAATGCAAAAGGAGAAGAGACGATTTCAACATGATTTACACTACATGGTAAATTAGTACTACAGTGACCTTTTCACTTACAAGCATGTTTTTTATACAAATTAGCAGGTGTGCTTGTATAAAACAATTTGTGTTCTGTATCATGGAAAAAGTACTCTCCACATTTAGAATCACAAAATCATGTTGTATGTTAGAGAATTATGTCCAAAATTATATATATTACTTAACAATGTTATTTTTAGATATGAGCATGACTGTAAGCTAGGTACTTAAGTACATTCTGTTACATTATTTTTCTTTATGTAATACTTTTTCAGTTGTTTTATTTGGTATAAATATATACTTTGTGCTTAAACATCTTTGTTCGTTTTTAACATTCAATAGTATATAAAGATATGATTTCCTTCAGTAAGATAGATGCATTGAATTGTTGGAATGCCTATTGTAGTGCGTCTGTTCTTGTCCCCCTTGTCATTGCTTTTGTAGTTGTAAACTCCAGTTCTGCAAATACGGTGTGCAAGCTCACCTGAGAGACAAATGAGTTCCACTGGCTTCAGTAAAGGCTTAACATTAAAGTGTACATATCTGTGTGCTTGCAGGAATGAAGAGACAGTGACTCTGGTGAGCATCATGCAGCTTATGTAAAACAATACTTTAATTGCAAATGGCACTGTAGTGAGACCTGGTAACAGGACATCTGGTTATCTACTAGAAGAAAGCAACCACTTTTTGCAGATAATGCTTGCCATGCTCGGATGGCAGATATATTTTTGGCTAACTCTTAAGTTTATGCATTAATTTGTGGCAGACTATCAATAAAGACACACTATTTTCATTTCCAAGTTTTGACTTATGAATTGTGAAATATGTAATGATATACCTTGAAAGTGCCTGATGATTTCAGTTTAAAATATCTTGACAGGTTTCATTAATTTTGACCTTCTGTATAACAGTCTGAAAGATGGGATTTTTTTAAATGTATTGCAGTTTGGAAAGGCCAAAGTCATATACTGTTTGCATTTTAGCAGTTCCAGAGTTGTTATGGCTCAGCACCAAATGCCCCAACCCTGTGGAATTCAGCAAATTTGTGTGTTTTCTTGGTTAAGGGTACAGCCCTTGATGGATTTATCAGTTTGTCTTGTACTTCTGAGTTCATAGCCAGCTTTAGTCATCCAAATCCTTTAAATTTAAATGTAACATCACACCTTCCACCTGGGAGTAGGCGGCCAGTACCAGGGAATGATAAGGTACCAATTTTGTTTGCTGATATCACTCTCATTTATAAGGTGGTGACATATTGCAGAAGTTGAAGTATGAGTGACCTTCTGAGGCAGCCCTAAATAGACTGTATTACTGCAAAACAGGATATTTGGTTCAGGTATTACAGGCTCACTTTGCAATTCTCTTTGAAATATTTTCAACACTTAGTTAAAAATAAAAAGTATTTGTTTCAGTAAGCCAGAAATAATATGCTTCCAAGGAAGCAAGTGCCAGTTATCAGCCAAAGAAAGCATTTTTCATAGAAAAATTGAGATCAGGCTATGATCTGTGTAGCACCTCCTGTTTTGGAGGTTCATTCAGAGATAAACCAGGGCCACTGATTTTGTTTACAGTATCAGCATCCAGAGTTTATATGTTCCTCCTAAGAGTAAAGGTGGGCTTCTTGACCTTTGTTGTCACCACTTCGTAATGCTAACAGGGGTTATCTGTTAGCATTAGGAAGTGGTTACCTGTTAGCACCCTCTGAACTTAGGTATCATCAAAATAGGAAGATGTCGGTACAGGATGAGAGATCTTGGTTGCTAAGAAATGGTGAGTCCAGCTCTTGAACTGAAAAATCAAATTGTCGTTAGAACAGAGGTAGAGCTTTGTACCAACTACCATACCCAGTGCTGAATGCCTCTTAAGTAAAACAGCCAATGTGTTCTTCTCCAGGCACTGAGGGAGCATGTTGAGTAAGAAACACATAAATACTGACGCATCTGACAAAGCTGCCTAACAGATTTTGTGGAAAACTCGTGGTTTTTACTTTTCCAGACATACTCTGTCTTTAATGCAAAGGTTGTAACAGTGAATGCTATAGATCTAAGCTGTCACAGACTGGCTTAATTTTTTTTGTGTGGGAGTGCAGTTGGTCACTAATGATAGAATTTTCTATATTAAATTGGCTCCACATAGAACATGAGAGGCAAAGTAGTTCTATGGGATTTTCCTATTAGCAAGTGCGATTGGGGGGGAGGGGTTGTTTGGTTTAGGTTTCTTTTTAAGGGGAGGGGTCAGGAGCAGCCCAAGAGGCTTCTTTTTCACTGTTCTGCAACAACAAACTGGAGCTCCAGATAAATGCTACAATCACTCTCACCTGAAATGCTCTTTCTCCTCCTCTCATATATGTCGATTCTGAGCTGCTCTAGTGTGTTCTAAATTATTTATTGTATTTACCATCTGTGAGCTTTGCTTTCCTAACACCTATTGACTGTACTGTAATAATAAGTGCAGTTTGTCCCCAGAGGAGAGCAGAGTTCTAAATTGCAGCTGCCATCGTGTTTCAAGTCTGTAATATAGCACAGAATTACTGTCTGACTCCAAATGTGATGCTGCCCAACTTCTGGTACAGGATGGTTATGGGCAAGCATGATTTTTTTGAACCATAGTGGATTCCTGTTCTTGTTAGAGGTTGGAAAAGTTTGGCGGTGTCATTGCTTTGACTTCTGCAGCCAGCTGTCCTAGCAGGAGCAGGGACAGCAGTCCTCTTGGGTAGGAATACTCCTACCCAGCATTTAACCTGGTGTTAGCCATGATGGGTTTTTGAAGCTGACTGAGTAATTCAGTCTTTCACAGTTTCATTGTTAGGTGCGCAATACAATTGTCTCAGCTCTCTTGACTGACAAGGGGCCATTTTCAGGCTTTGCCCAGCGATGTAACCCTTTCATAC